TGCATTTTTGTAAGTCTTGGGTTGTATGTGCATGTGTGAGCATGAGGGAGGGAGTGTGTGACTGTGTTTGTGTATGACTGTATATGTCAGGTGGGGCCTTTGACTCCTCCCCTCTCCTGAAACTTCTTTTGATGATATAGATCTTCGTCCCCCCTCCCCCTGCCACACCTGGTGTGGGGTGTGGTGCCTTGGTCTGCCTGAGTGTTTGTGGCTCCCGGGTCAGGGGGTTTAAGATTTTTGGCATCTGCCTGATCAATCCAGGTGGCTGCCTGGTGGTGTCTGGGTCCCTGGGCTCTGCTGGGTCCCCGGCGGGGGTGGTGGCCCCTGGGTCCCGGGTCGCTGGGTCCCGGGCTCGGCCGGCTAGGGGGTGGGAGGCTGCGGGCGGGCCTGTTGGCTTGCCGCTGATATCTCCCGGGACTCTGCCGGCTGCTGGTTGTGGCCCCCCAGGGCGATCCTCTGTGCCTCTCGAGGGGGGCGTTGGGCCTTTCTGGTTGCAGTCTCCTTGGGGTTCCTGTGTTCTGGGGCAGCGCCTGGATCTCTGGGACTTGGAGCTCCCCCCGTCTCCTACGCATCTTTGGGGGGCGGATCTGTGGTCCCTCACACTCTCTATTGGACGCTCCTATAGAGAAACCTTACATAAACAAGCGCGTGTACACACACAGGTGCTCACATGGTGCTCTCAAAAGTATGGGCTTGGGCACATTAAACACAGGTCTTAAGACTATGGTGGGCACTTAATGCACTGTGATTTATTATCGTGTGATTGTTCAGTTAAACAATGTTGATTATATATTTCTTCATCAAGTTTACACAGTGATGGCTTGATCTTGTATTGTTGTTGTGTTCCTTTTTTTTGTTCTTTTGCTTTTTTTTCTTCTCTTTTTCTGCAGGTCTAGAAGCAGACTCTTGTTCATTATTGTTTATTTTTGTGGACCCCCCCCCCCCCCCCCCCACCCCTTCCCCCCTCTCTCCCCACCTTTTGTCTTTGTGGGGTGGATTCATTTCTGCTTCAACCAGTTTTAGTAAAACTGAAGATTTTGTATCTAACTTATTTTATTTAACTTAATTTCATGTTATGGAGTTAAACACGTGTTCCATAAAACCAGCCTGGAGAACATTCTGGAGACTGTTCTTTTGTTCATCGAGCTCCTGATTAAATTAGTACTTTTTAAAGGGGTGTACTCATTTATGCTGAACATTGTGTAAATATATGTATATATTATATATATATATATTAGGGCTGCACGATATTAGGAAAACCTGCGATATTCGACAACAGTGCTTAATATTGCGATATTACTCGCGATAAATGAACAAATACTAAAGTATGCAGTGTTGATGTCGTCTGGCGTGTGATGTCTGCTCTGGGTTCAAAGCTAACAAAAACTAATGCATGAATTCCATTACAACATAACATTTTTATTGCAAAAATATGCAGCTGCACCTGCTACTGTATTAGCAGCAAAACAACAAACTGCATGCATGCAGTTTCTCAGTGACTTTAAAACATCACCTCCACCATAAAACTTTTTCTGATGCTCCAAATACAGAAAAACATCCCTTACCTGTAGGGATGCACCGATACCGTGCCAATACCAATACCAGTATCGGTATCGGTAAAAGTTTGCCGATACCAGGAACCAATACCAATGCAGTTGCTTGAAAATGGCTTCACTGTAACTTGTCATTTCTGTTCACCTAATATTTTAGTTTTGTGATGATTTCCATTCATATATTTTACTTTTTATCTACCTCACAGTCTTTTCCTGTTGAAAGCAGAGAAGAAAATAAAATCTGTATTCCAAATCATTGCATTTTTTTTTTGTGGTGGAAGTATCGGCATCGGCGAGTACTCAGATCCAAGTATCGGTATTAGGGCTGTCGCGGTTGAGGAATTCCCCCTGCGGTGATTCAGGGTGGCTTAATATTGCGGTATGCGATATTATTGCAGTCCTTTTTTTTATTGCAGTACTATCTAAACATAATGTTTACACATTTAAAAAAGGTTAAAAATTGCCGTGCCTTCTTTTATAACGCTTTACTGAATGCAGATCAAAGGGCAGTAACAACACAGATCGCAGTAACGTTCGTTTCTCCGACAGTCGGAGTCCGACTGAACTTAAAAACAACAAAATTCAGGAGAAGGTTAAACTTTTAAATGCAAATTTGGCTGCAGCATCTAACAAATAATAAACAAGTCCCCATTTTGTTTAGTTGTTTAGAAACAAGCATAAAAAATTACATGTACCGGGCGCGCGCGCGCCGGGGGGCGGGCGCACTATCATTTCACTTTCACACACATGAATGACGGTGATTTATAGCTCGGTCACGTCCTTGTTACCCACAAGGAAAACCAGCATGTTAACCATATACGGTTTGAGAGAGGATCTGAGAGGGGTGGCAACATTTGCAGCAACACTGAAAACCCTCTCGGAGGTGCGCTCGTTGCACTTACCCCAAATTCCACTACCTCCGCTCCCCTCCGCTCCGGTCCGGCCCCGCTCGCTTCCGAACTCAACTTGCGTGCGACTCTGGCGAGCAAAGGGAATCTTTCCCGGTTGTTACTCCACCATGTCAGGGGGGTTCTTTAGGGTGGATGCATTCCACCTGCAGGTAGCGAGTGAGCTCCAGCTCGGCTCAAACTCTCTTCGGGACGGTTGCAGAAGCAGTGCTTGTCCGGGACTTCAGCAGGTCTCCGAGCGTTTATTATTTATTTATTTTTTGCCGCTGGTGGCAGCTCTGTCTCGGCCAAGGACTCTGGCTGCGCAGCAGCTGACGTACTGAAAACCAAAGCGCTCCCACAGGAGCGAAGTAACGTTTCGTTTTGATACCAGTGCAGCCATCCTTCTCAACATGCATCATTGAGTTGAACCAAGTTCAGTAATCGCGGTGGCCCATGATGCAGCGCGGTGGGCTTCTTCATATCGCGATATTTCATTTTTGCGGTTACCGCGACAGCCCTAATCGGTATCGTATCGGTTTGGAAAAAAGAGGTATCGGTGCATCCCTACTTACCAGGGTTTTTTGAATAAATAAAAAACAGAAAATAAGTTTAAATGTTAAATAATAGTTAACATCACTTAAATGCAACAGCAAATTCTCTCATTGCTACTGAACATTTTCTCCACTTATGTGGTTATGATACAAGGCTGTTGCTGCAATTGGGAAGTGAACTGTGCTGGGCCAAACTAGGAGAATATTAAGATTTTCTGAGGGGAAGAGAAAAACATTTGTCTACCTTTCAGAAGAGGAACTGGCAAAAAAAAACTACATGGAAAATATGTGAAACCGTTTGTTTTTAACCCCAAATTGAACAAGTTTACCTAGATCTTAAAAAGCAGCTCAGATGATGAAACTGAAACTATGATTCTTTTAACAAGCTAACAAATTGAACTAGCTCCTCTAAGACAACCGGCTAGCAGAGCTTCTGACTGACAGTTTATGTGCAGCAGCAAATCAACTATCCTGATTAGGGCTGCACGATATTAGGAAAACCTGCGATATGCGATAACAATGATTAATATTGTGATGACGATATTACTTGCGATAAATAAAAACTTAACTCAGGAACTAAATTAATCAACAACAAGGAAATAAGAAAATCATAAAAATGAGAAAAACAAAAGATGTGAGGAAAGGGGAAAAAATGAACAAGAAAAGGCGATCAGTGGATCCCAGGAAAAGCAGAATCAGCAGAAAGAGCAGAACTAAGCTAACTCAGGTGTTTGCTAACCATCTAAATTAAGTGCTGTCCGCCTCGGGGGCGGACATCTTACCTATGAGAATCCACCCATTGGGCCAAATGGATGAAGAGCTGTATTTGATTTGTTAAAAAAAACATCACACCTCTATTTGATTGACAGAATGCCTCATGTGTAGCAAACATTTGAGCTGACCATTCATTACGATATTTATCTGTTCTTTGCGATATGCATATTGTGCATGCTGATATCGCGATAACGATATATTTACGATATATTGTGCAGCCCTAATCCTGATTATCAAGATTATAAAAGCTCATAAATGAAAAATCACTTTGATGTGTGGGGGAACTTTTCCAGGCCCTCTTTAGCAGGGTGGGACTGGGAGGAGAGTGCTGTAGCCTTTTAGCTGGAAGCTAACCGGAGCCTGGGGCTAACATCACCACCCGGTGGAACACTAGCGACACAAAGGTGGGTTGGTTCACCGGCACGTGTCAGAGTCAGCCCGGTAAAAGTGATTGATGACACCGAGCGGACTCACGTTCACATTTGAAAGCAGTGCTGACTCCAGAAACCTCAGCACAAAGTGCGTTTGTTGCTCTGAGCCAGCATGACGAACAAGGGAACGGCACCGCTAACGCAGTTCGGGGTTTAATTTCCATCCTAAGGGTCTACGTAGGGGGCTGGCGTATTACGTGAACAGACCCGTCTGATTGGCCACATGTTGGTCAAAATAATACTGCCACGTAAAAAACAGCTGGTTTACAAAAAGCTGATGTATGACACGGATGGGAATGTTTGAACAAAACATTTATCGCCATTTTTGTCGTGCTTTGCGATTGGCCTATCGCACGTCCTGTTATCCCGATGGCAATAATTTTTCGATATATTGTGCAGCCCTAATACATATGTATTATATATATTTTAAATATGTATATATATTTACACATATATATTATATATATATAGATATGTAGATACACATACATATATATATATACATATATATATATATAGATATATAGATACACATACAAATATATACACACATACATATATATATATATACATATATATATATATATATATATATATATATAGATAGATAGATAGATAGATACACATACATATATATACACACATACATATATATATATATAGATACACATACATATATATATATATGTATATACACACATATTATTTGGAGCCGTGGCACAGCGCCACCCTTGAGCCTATGTAGGGGAAACGCTGTGTGTGTGTACCATGACTTGAGCGTGTACACCTGTGTGTCCACAGCTGAAAATGCCCGTGGAGAGGATGCGGATGCGACCGTGGCTGGAGGAGCAGATTAATTCCTGTCAGATCCCTGGACTAAAGTGGGTTAACAAGGTAAGAGTCCACCTGGAGACGAGCTCAGACTCACGTGTTGTGGTTCACACGATAACAAAAGCACTTGATCTGCAGGAAAAGAGAATTTTTCAGATCCCCTGGATGCATGCGGCTCGTCATGGCTGGGATCTGGAGAAAGATGCCCCACTCTTCATGAGATGGGCCATACACACGGGTGACTGCTTCTCTTCTGCTGTTGCTAATCCAAGACACTTCAGAGTTATGCAATAATAGTTGGCTTACAAAAGTGGGAGGGGCAGCTCTGGGTTACTGTAGAAAAACTCTTGACCTGTTGAGTCTGAACCATGTGCTCTGGTTCATTGGGCTGTAGGTAAGTATCAGCAAGGTGTAGACCGACCCGATCCAAAGACATGGAAGGCCAACTTCCGCTGTGCCATGAACAGCCTTCCAGACATCGAGGAGGTGAAGGATAAAAGCATCAAAAAGGGTACCAACGCCTTTAGGGTTTATAAGATGCTCTCGTCTTCAGAGAGGAACCTAAAGAAAGGTGAGTTCTGGTTCTGTTCTGCTCACCTGCTGTAGATTTGACCTGAGACCTGACTTTTTCTCTTGGGTGTGTATGTAGGAAAGAAAAAGGCTGACAAGGAGGGAACGTCTAGAAGACATAAGGAGGTGGGTGAACTGTGTGTGGGGGATGTTGGGATGAGGAATGCTGATTGGACAGTGTGGTTCTGCTGTCTCACCTACACCTTGTTTTAAAGTCTGCTGGCATGTTAGTCATAGGGAACCTAAGTCATGCCCATCTACTGCCGGACCATGGGTCCCCAACTGCAAAAAGAGAAAACGAATATGACTCTGAGAGGTTAAGTCATTTCCTGATCCAGTTTGACAAATGCCATGAATTTCACATATGATGTCCGCGATTTTTAAAGACGTATTTTGATGCCAAGAAAGCTCTGATTTTTTTTAATGCTGGCGACGGTTATTTTAGGTTTTGTGTGAAAAGATGTAACGGACTAGTGGTATGAGTGTCCACCCTGGGACTGGGACTTTGTGGGTTCAAATATGGTCAGATAATACCAAAGACCAGACCGGATTTGAAAAAAGGGGACCCAATTAGGGTTGTCACTGTAACCGGTGTAGTGGTGAACCCCGGTAAAAAAGTTGGCAATAATAATAACCGTCTTGTTTTTTAAAAAATATGTTATCTCGGTGGATTACCGTGGCTGCGGTGTAGGCGCGGTGACCCTTACCAGCCACCGTATTATCTGCTGAATTTGCCGGCGGCACATGTGCACTTTGTTGTTTACAACCAAAACTTCCTTGAAGCTAAGCTGAAATAGCTGAAATAATGGTCAAAGGAGGAGAAGGCAGCTCTCAGGACATTTATTATCCCTCAAAGAAGACAAAGTCGGAAGTATGGGCATTTTTTGGATATTTGAAGAATGCCGAGGGACAGCTGATAGAAGACGGCTATCCTGTTTGTAGCATGTGCAGGAAAAAGTGTGTGAAAGGCAGCAACGCTTCAAATCTCTGCGTGAATTTAACAATGATTACTGCCTGATGACATTTTCCCAAATCTGCAAAGCCCACTGGAAAGACACAAACCGAGGACAATATTTTCCTGATATAGTGTTTATTACTCAAGTAAGGGTAAAAAAGTATCTGATTAGAAGGCTACTTGAGTACTGAGTATAATCTGATCTAATATTTTTTAAATGATGACATCAAACAGACAAAAAAATAAGAAGTTATGGGCAAATATTGCTATTTTAAAGACTAAAGGGGAAAAATGTAAACAAATAAACAACATAATTACAAAATAAATTTTAGGCAAAATTTAGACACAAACTGAGGACAATATTTTCCTGATATACAGGGTTTATTTAGTCGTCTGAAAATGTAACACATTTTAAAAAGTACCGCGATAATACCGAAAACCATGATAATTTTGGTCACAATAACCGTGAGGTTAAATTTTCACACCGTGACAACCCTAGACCCAATGCCTCCCAGCTTGACACTCAGCTTTAAGGGGTTTGATTGGGGTTTAAACCACCAAATGGTTCCAGAGTGTGGATGTGTCTGCAACTCACCGCTCCCCATGGGAATGGGACGAATGTGGAGAGCAAATTTCACCAGTGCTTGATGACTAATGGGACTTTATTCTTAATCTTAGTCTCACTAAATTGAGGTAATCAAACCAGACGTGGTTGAAAGAAGCATAAAACGTTGAGAAAATCACTATAAATCTGTCCTTGTTGTAAGTAAGTAAGTAAGTAAAAGTTTATTTATATAGCGCCTTTCACAGATATAAATCACAAAGCGCTGTACAACATGATAAAGATCAGGGCAAATACCTCTAACCTTTGTAAGCAGCATCTACGCTTGGGGAGAGGACGTCATATATGCCACGTCTGATTTGTAGACATTTTAATTACAAATTTTAACAAGCTAATAAAGTACATGATGGTCAGAGTCAAAACAAATTACTTTTTTTTTTAATTGAGGTACAACATGTGATTCAGGGAGTAAGGCAAAGCTGGTTCGAGAATTAACTTATCGACCTGTTCGGGGGCCCGTGAGCTGACCAAAAAGGGAGGAGACTTAGGTTCCCCGTTGCTAAAAGACTTTATGGAGAATAGGATTGCAGAGATTAACCTGTCTGACTATCAACCATGGTGTGAAACGCTGCACTTAACCTACTGTAGACATTTCCAACACCGCAACAGGACAACAGTGTGACTTGCGCAAACCAAAACGAAAGTGAAAGTGTGTTCATGTTTTTCATTTATTTGTGATATATATATAATTTTTTTTTTCTAGTTTTCACTTAATAGAAAAAAACGACATTCAAAAAATTCAGCTTGCATTATTTTTTGTCTAAATGTCAACCTATGCATCGGTGTTGGCAAAAATTGTGCCTGGAAAACCTCACCAGGGAGGCATCCAAGAGGCATCCTGACCAGGTGCCCGAGCCACCTCAACTGGCTCCTCTCGATGTGGAGGAGCAGCAGGTCTACTCCGAGCCCCTCCCAGATGACCGAGCTTCTCACCCTATCTCTAAGGGAGAGCCCAGCCACCCTGTGGAGAAAACTCATTTTGGCCACTTGTATCCGCGATCTCCTTCCTTCGGTCACTACCCAAAGCTCGTGACCATAGGTGAGGGTAGGAACGTAGATCAACCGGTAAATTGTGTAAATCACATCAACTAACACAGCCCTACAACGTCCAGAGCCTTAAGAATCTCTGGGTGGATCTCATCCACCCCCGGGGTCTTGCCACAATGGATTTTTTTGACCACCTCAGTGACCTCGGCCCCAGAGAGGAGTCCAACCCAAAGTTCCCAGACTCTGCTTCCTCACTGGAAGACGTGCCAGTCGGATTGAGGACGTCTTAGAAGTTTTCCGCCCACTAATCCACAACGTCTCAAGTAGAGGTCAGCAGTACACCGTCATCACTGTAAACAGTGCTGATAGCGCACTTTAGGTTTGAGAGCTTTTACTTCCTGAGACGCTGGATGGTGGACCAGAATCTCCTTGTTACAATACAGAAATCTTGCTCCATGGTCTCACCAAACTGCTCCCACACCCGGGTTTTTGCCTCCGCGACCACCCAAACCGCATCCTCCCCCACCACCAAAACCAACTCCGTGGTCAGTTGACAGCTCCGCCCCTCCCTTCACACGTGTGTTCAAGACATGCGGCCGCAGATCAGATGAAATGACAACAAACTAAGTAGATCATTGAACTGTAGCCTAAGGTATCCCGGTGCCAAGAGCACATATGGACACCTTGAACATGGTGTTGCTTAGACAGTCCATGACATGCACAGAAGTCCAGTAACAAAACAGCGTTCAGATTCAGATCAGGGGGGTCGTTCCTCACAACCACACCTATCCAGGTCGAACTGTCGTTGCCCACATGAGCGTTAAAGTCCCTCAGCAGAATGAGGCAGTTGAAGGAGCACTCTCCAGCACCCTGTAAGGACTCCAAAAAGGGTGGGTAGTCTGACAGCCGTGGTGCCTGTGGTCCTCGGGGCAGTAACTCCCAGACTGGAGGAGTGGCTAAAGCAGATCCCAGGAAAGACATCAGACATCTCAGTCCAGAAAAGAGCAGCTCTAGGAACAGCTAAGATACTGCAGAACCCTCAAGCTCCAAGCCTCTGGTAAAGCTGTGTTTCCCAACCCTGGCCCTCAGGGCACACTGCCCTGCATGTTTTCCATGTTGCCCTCTTAAGCACCCATGTTTCCCTGCTGCCTCACACCTGACTTAAATAAATGAGTGATTAACAGGCATCTGTAGCACTTGATGTCCTCCTGAGGAGGTAATATAACTCAGGTGTGCTGAAGCAAAGGACAACAAGCAGATCAGTGGTCCCTGAGCACCAGGGTTGTGAAACACTGGTAGAGGACCTGATCTTGGAAGGATGGGACCACCCGTGGAGGGTGAAATGGGATTTTTTTATACAAGGTAGTTTCCCTGCTTTGACAGAAACCACAAAGCCCAGCAGTCTATCATTGTCTATCATCCATCATATTTTATTAGACTGACAATTGAAGGTTGGAAGAAGTTAACATATCGCCCAACCCTACTACCCAAGTTGACACACCCCTACTGAAGGTGGTTTCATCCCAACAGAATAGTGAGCTGCTAGAGTTGGAACAGGACCTGTTAAATATCGTCCTCATAACAGATGGGAAGGTGAGGGCTTGTAGAAGCAGTCTGATCTCTAACTAGCTGTTTGTTACTGAGGGGTTCTGGTAACTAGTCTGTTTATTTCTGGTGGAACGTGAGCCTTCAAAGCCCAAAGCTTGCAGCCAGTCTGAATATTCTTCCTCTGTTTTCATCTCAGTCTGGACCTGCTGACGTAATCAAAGAGGAAATCCTGAAAGAGGAGCTGGTGGAGGTTACAGTAGCTGACAGTGGGTCAGGTAGGACTTGGAAATGTTTATTTGTCGCTGTTTTGGTTTGCCTTAATCAAAGTTAAGTTTCCTCTGTCTTTGTCCACATGGAAGGGGTCCACCCTCCAGCTGAGGAGCAGGTGATCAACAGCGAGCAGCTTCCCTACGTTTGTCAGACCATTGAGGTCATCACCGAGAACGAGGAGCAGACAGTTAGCTCCTCCCACTCGTACCCGCTCCAGATCTCTCCTGTGTCTTCATGTTGCGGTGAGACCAGTGTTGTTTTTGGCGGGCATCTTAGTTTTAGTCTTAGTCTTGATGATGAAAATGTATTTTAGTCTCAGTAGGTTTTATAGTTATCTTATTTTTTCATATTTAACACAGAGCAGTAATTGGATGTTTTTTACCTTCGGCTGACATGTTTCGGTCAGAACCTCCACCTTCGTCAGAGCCGCCAGCTGTTCGTGGCGTCACTTCCATCACACGGCTTAAATCCATCCTGAAATACCTGAATCTTAAATCTGTCATTCACGCGTTCATTACCTCCCGCCTGGATTCCGCCAACTCTGTACTGACTGGGATTAATGCACACGCTTTGAGCAGACTACAGAAAGTTCAGAATGCTTCGGCTACATTCTTCAGATGCATGCACATCACACCCATTCTTGCTAATTTACACCAGTTCCTGGTTAAATTTAGGCTTCATTTCAAAGTCTTACTTTTTGTTTACAAGGGTTTGAACGGTCTGTCTTCATCTTATCTAACCCTCCCACTGTCTTCATGGGTGACCCCCAACACATTCTCACTCCCAGCACGTCAAAAACAAACGCTTGGTCAGCCACCCTCCTCCTCAGACCCCTGACGCCAAAAATGCCCTTTTTCGTTACTTATGTGCGAAAAGGGTTTTTTCCCTTTTCTGACTGATAGTAATAATAATAATAATGCATTGAACTTATATAGCGCTTTTCAAGTCACCCAAAGTCGCTTTCACACACTCTCACATTCACACACTGCTAGTGATGGTAAGCTACTTGTAGCCACAGCCGCCCTGGGGAGGTCTGACAGAGGCGAGGCTGCCATTTGGCGCCATCGGCCCCTCTGACCACCACTAACACAGGCAAGTTGGGTGAAGTGTCTTGCCCAAGGACACAACAGCAGGATACCCCTGGCGGGAGCTGGAATCAGACCCATGACCCTCCGATCATGAGGCAACCCTCTCTACCACCTGAGCTACTGCTGATGTGATATCCACTACCGTTGCATCCCAATGCAGCGTAAAACTGACGCGATGGGATGTCCGCAGCCAGGGCACCAAACAAGCTCATTGTACCTCACCCTAATCGTATCCTCTTATTTAACCTTCCCCTCACCCCATCTTGCTAGCTAACACGTTAGTGATGTGTCGGTCGCTCTAAAAGCCGGCTCTATGAAGTGAACGGCGGGAGCCGCCTCGTCATTGGTCGGGTTTGGACCGAGCCAACGCGAGGGGAGGTTTCAACTACCACGGTGGAGGTTAAAAGCAGAGGGTATTTGTAACCTCCCCATCGCCAGATGGTATGTTCTAACGTTCCCCTTGGGCGGCAAATACGAAAATTCACAGTCAGAATGCATGGGAACAGACGCTTGATCACAGTGAGAGTAACGTTTTAGGTAGCAAGAGAGTTAAGGTTAGGGTGAGGGAGAGGGAAAGGTTATAAATAGTGAAACGTTAAGGTTTAGGTGCGGTAAAATGAGCTGGTTCTGTGCCGCATCAGCGGATATCCCATTGCGTCAGTTTTACGCTGCATTGAGATCTGCAAAAGGGAGAAACCCCTTTTCGCACATAAGTAACGAAAAAGGGCACTTTTAGCGTCGGGAGTCTGAGGTGGAGGGTGGCTGACCAAGCGTTTGTTTTTGATGCGCTGGGAGTGAGAATGTGTTGCCCTGCGAGGAAAGTTTACCATTGAGCAGGATTGATGGTTTATCCCTTGAGGTCCACGTGGCAGGGGTGAGGTGGTGCTCACTCCATCCCTGCCACATGGACCCAAGGGATAAACCATCAATCCTGCTCAATGGTCAACTTTCCTCGTGGGGCCACCCATAAAGACAGTGGGAGGGTTAACTGAGCTGTTGACTCCATATACACCCACACGTTCCCTTCGATCAGCCGATCATGGGGGTAGCACACCTATTCTCATGCTGCACTCAAACTTTGGAACTCTTTACCCATCCAAGTGCATTTGGTCCATCCCTAAGTGTGCTCTTAAGACACTTTTTCAGCATCGCCTACCCTTCAAGATCTACTAAAAACTGCACGACTCCTGTTTTACTTTTCCTGTTTAGCCTTCGGCTTTTTATGTACAGCACATTGGTTAGCTGACATGCTATTTTAAACTGTGCTTTATAAATAAAATTGTATGGTATATAAATTATAAATATAAAAATAGAATAAAAATTTCTAAATAACGTAAAAATGAGAAGGAATGTCTGTAAAAGTGATGCATTCCAACAAATTAGATGAGTGAATTAGCTCCCACCACAAACTTTGGGTCCTGCTGAAGATTTTTCTCATTTACAGTTCACCTTTATCTCTGACCATTTCCAAGCTACAACCTTTTGGAATATTCGTGTCAAAATTGAATATTTTCTTGAAAAAACTCTTCACACCCAAAGGGTCAACTTCTTTGAGCGAACAAACATGAAAAATAAATGTTATTTGTGTTTTTACATTTTTCACTTTAGTTCAGGCCATTTAGAATTGTTTTCATCACATTTAGCTTGTATTTTACTCAAAATATCCATCTTTTTTATTCTATGACCATTTTTGTTGCATTGTTTAGAAAAATAACCTTAACATAAAAACTATTTGACATATTTTGTATTAATTTAAATATGTTTTAAAAATTGCATGTAATTTATAATAATTTTTACTGAAATTTTAGAATTATTTGTTCTACAATCCATCTGGTATGTGAGCTTGTTTTTACATGTATAAACAAAAGAAAAGAATATTCATCCATCCATTCTCGTCCACTTATCCGGACTCCGGTGGCATGAACAAAGTCGAGAGGCCCAGATTTCCCCCTACACAGCCACTTGGACCAGCTCTTCTTTGAGGATCCCAAGGCACTCCCTGGCCTGCTAGGAGTCATGGTCCCTCCACGGTGTCCTGGGACTTCCTTTAGGTCTCCTCCTGATTGGACGTGCCCGGAAAACCTCACCAGGGGGGGATCTAGGAAGCATTCTAATTTGATGCTCAAGCCACCTCAACTGTCTCCTCTCAATGTGGAGGAGCAGTGGATCTACTCCGAGCCCCTGTCGGATGACCGACCTTCTCACCCTATCGCTAAGAGAGAGCCCAGCCACCATGCGGAGAAAACTCATTTCAGCCGCTTGTATCCGCAATCTCGTTCTTTCGGTCACTACCCAAAGCTCGTGACCATAGGTCAGGGTAGGAACATAGATCGGCCGGTAAATCGAGAGCTTTGCCTTCTGGGTCAGCTCTCTCTTCACCACGACGCAGCACCAATCTGCCAATCAAGCATGCGCTCCAGTTTTCTCTCACTCATAAACAAGACCCTGAAATACTTAAACTCCTCCATTTGGGGCAGGACCTCATCCCTGACCCAGAGAAGGCATTCTACCCCTTCTCGACTCAAGACCATGGTCTCTGATTTAGAGGAGCTGATTCTCATCCCAGCTGGTTCACACTCTGCTGCAAACCACTCCAGTGAAAGCTGGAGATCACGTTCCAATGAAGTCAACAGGACCACATCATCTGCAAAAAGCGGAGACCTGATCCTCAAGCCATGAAAATGGATCCCAACATCACCTTGGCTGCGTCTGGAAATACTGTCCATTAAAGTTATGAAGAGAATCTGTCCAACTCTCACTGGAAAAGAGCCCGAGTTACTGCTGGCAATGCGGACCAAGCTCTGACACCGGTCATATAGGGACCGAACAGCCCATATCAGAGGACTTGGTACCCCATACTCCCAAAATGTCCCCCGAGGGACACGGTCAACACCTTCCCCAAATCTACACATGTAGATGGGTTGAGCAAACTTGAATGGCCAGGATGAAAACCAAATTGCTCCTCCTGAATCCGAGATTTGACGATCCGATGGACCCTCCTCTCCAGAGCACCTGAATAGACCTTACCAGGGAGGCTCAGGAGTGTGATCCCCCTGTAGTTGGAGCACACCTTGCGGTTCTCCTTTTTAAATAGGGGGACCACCACCCCTGTCTGCCAATCTAGTGAAACTGCCCCTGATGTCCATGCGATATCGTAGAGCCGCATCAGCCAACACAGCCCTACAACAACAACCAGAGCCTTAAGGAACTCCAGGTGGATCTCATCCACTCGATGCAATTTGCTGGGTTCCTTATTTAGGAAACCTTTTACTGATTGGCTTAATGAACTGAACTGTATTGGAATGTTTATTTTGAGAAGTGCCTTGAGAAGATTCTTGTCATGATTTGATGCTATATAAATAAACTGAATTGAATTGAAGCCTTGCTGCCGAGGAGCTTTTTGACAACCTCAGTGACTTCAGCTCCAAAGATTGGAGAGTCCCCGGACCCTGCTTCCTGACAGAAGACGTGCTGATGGGATTGAGGAGGTCTTTGAAGTACTCACCAATCCACAACAAGTGCCCACCAATCCACAACATCCCTAGTTGAGGTCAGCAACACACCATCCTCACTATAAACACTGTTGGTAGCACACTTCTTTCCCCTTCTAAGGTGCCGGATGGTGGACCAAAATCTCCTCGAAGCCAAGTGTAAATCTTGCTCCATGGTCTCACCGAACTCCTCTCACACAATTTTTGCCTCCACAACTACCCAAGCCAAATTCCACTTGGACTGCCGGTACCTATCAGCTGCCTCTGGAGTCCCACAAGCCAAAACAACCTGATGGGACTCTTTTTTTTTTTTTCCAGCTTGACAGCATTCCTAACCGCAAGTGTCCACCAGCGTGTTTGGGGGTGGCCACCACGATGGGCACCTGTGACCCTGCAGCCACAGCACTGCTATGACCGTACTCCTCCCCCACCATTGGAGCCAACTCGCCACCAAGTAGTGGTCAGTTGACAGCTACGTCCCGCTCCACCCAAGTGTCCAAGACATGCGGCCGCAGATCAGAGAAAACAAGAACAAAGTTGATCATCAAGCTGCGGCCTCCTGTATCCTGGTGCCAAGAGCACATTTGTACACCTTTATGTCTAAACATGGTGTTCATTATGGACAATACATGACCAGGACAGAAGTCCAATAACAAAACACAG